TTTAACTTCTATTTTAACAATTTTTAACCAACGTGAACTAAACGATAACAAAATCTTGACTCTTGAATCGCGTTTAAACCGAACTGGTAACGGAAGGCTGTAACTCGTGTACCCCAGAGAATACACAGTTCATAGGTGGATCATTTCGTTTAAATACGTAAATGCTGGATTATATAAAGACAGTTAAAACGAACAAAAACAGAAACAGACAAGTGTAATAAGAATCATTAATCCACAAAGTAGGTCTTCTATACCTTGTGAAAAAGGCACGCTCCCGGTATAGGGCACAGTTCTAAAAAAGAATGAATAATGCTATCCGACTGATAAATCTTATCCACTGGATAAATTCATTGGATAACATCATTTCTTTATCCACTGGATAAGGATTCACCTGTCGGATAGTGGTATCCACCCTTCGTACAACCGGTCCCGGATTGGCAACAATGGGAACTTTAAGATTTGCAAAATCTGCGACGGCGACGTCAACCGGAAGTTTAAATTACTTCACTTTGGGGTTTCGAGTCTTTAAAATCTGTCTTCCCTGTGGATGAGTTGACTTTACTGACAATGTTTTGAATAAAATCTCCAATGAACAGAACCCCAAAGAAAAACTATTTACACTTCCGGTTGACGTCGCCTTAGTCGATTTTGCAAATYTTAAAGCTCCTAATATTGAACCAATCCCAGCGTGTGAGACACTTGGTCAGTCAATCAAAATGCTCGCACTGCTTTGTCACACAACCAAGCATTTTACAATGTATGCTTTGTGATTTGGTTCTACTTTAACACTCATTRGTCGTAAAAATAGGTCGAGTCATTTGGAAAATTTAAAGCACCGATTCCTATAAGACTATAAAGTCAGAGATTTTAAACGTAATGYGATGCATGTGATATGATTGTATCTTCATAACAGTGTGGCCAAGTGCTGGTTCGACATGGAGAAGTAAGTCCATTACGAATGTTATTGTCCAATATTCAGGGGGGTGGGGTGGCGTAAATTTTTTTGTTTGTTTTCCTTGGTATCTTGTTGGTTTAACAAAACAATAAATACTAAAATTAATATGGTTTTCCAATGTTAAAAATCGTGAATTAAATATAAAAAGTCGATTAATAAAGTTCATCAAAATTTATTCAATAAATAAAAAAACAATACAAAAAAGACGCGATAAAATGTTGGTCAGAATCTAAAATTCGGCAAAAATTCAAAATAATATGATCCTCTTAAAATAACATATTGTCTATGACATCATGCGATGTAACCATACACGTCATATAGCTCATCACGTGAAGTCAAATATCGTACGCYCTAATACTTTGTAATTTTCTCACGTACTTTCCATACGTACGTATCAAGAATTTGCCTTACGTATATACTTCATACACGAAAATTGGTTTAAACATTAATATTTTATTCGCTCAAGGAAAGACTAAACAATTTGTGGAAGAAATCAATTATTTATTTTGGTGGGCCATTACACTGACTCCAACTTCCCCCTGCTTACCTACTTAACATTCAGTTGCGCATCTAGTGGAAGAGTGTGTCAGTGTGTGTTTAGGGGCGGGGTTGGGGGGAGGATGGAGAGGTACTGCACAGTGATTTTATCTTACTGGTTCAGCCTCTAGCCCCGTCCTAAATCCTGCATACGCCCTAGAAAGCCTAAATATTTTTTCCCCGGTTTTCGAGAAAAATCTGCTTGATTTGCTTGAAAACACACCCTTRCACTTAAAAAAATATTTCTTGTTTAACATGTTGAAATATTCATTGTTACGCTTAGGAAGAGTCATATATCTGATACTATGGAACGTCTAACTGGTAAGTGAACTCGTGTTTTGGTCAATAGACTTGTTCCCTTGAACTAATCATTGAGGTGCAACCACAAGACTTAAAACCCCTGGAGATGTAAACAACCGCCATGTTAGTTGATCTAGTTGATCTAACAAGAGAAGCTAATGAGAAATGCTTTGTCACCATCAACCAACATGACGGTYGTTTCGTTATTTACATCCCCAGGGATTTTGATTCATGTGGTTGCACGCCAATAATTAGTACAAGGGAGTCCTAACCTGGAAATGAAAACAAAAGAATACACTTTTTGAGAGTTGATATTTTTTTATCTTCATATTTTTCATTGTTCACAACCCCTAGATTGGTATTTTGTGCAAAGGGTCAATAAACGTTAAGATAAAACTTGATAGTCGCTTAGAGAATGTGCGTACCATTTTTGGACTTTTTTTGTCTTGTCAGATACTTCAACCATTCGTCTTTACTGCTTACGTTATGAGGAGCCTCACGAGGGATGCCTGGTACAAGTTAAACCAGTGTAAGCAAAATAAATATATCTATCTATATCATATATCTATATGAACATCACATGCATCTCTTGCATCCACAGGCGTCTTTGCCTTGAGCACCAGCCTGTCGTGCAATAACATTAAAATAGCAAAAGAGAAAGGACTGCCTTTAGAATTGAAATTTATCTTATTTTATCTTGCTTTGCTTTATTACGTAATGTTTTGCCCATTTCAGACCACGTGTCACTCTCTTGAGAATACGATTCTTTCTTTGAGTTGTATCCATATTCATGTGTCTTATGTGCAACCGTTAAACAAGGAAATAATATTTAAGGGAATGACACATGGTCTGAAATGGGAAAAAAGTGGAATATGTCTTATATTAATGGCTTCAGCCATCACGGTTCCTATGACTTCACATTTGCACCACAAGAATACGCATTCGCTACTTATCACGTGATATGAATTATTGACAGGTGCTCATCTCTACGGTCACGTGGTTGTTTTGTACTTCTTGTATGCCGTGAAGGTCAAATGTATGTGTGGTATGGTTCGAAGTCTTTAGAGGGAATGAGAAAGAATGTGTTAGCTGCTGCTAAATATATTCAAGAAAAGTAAGTTTGTTTCTAACTTTCAATATTCTTTAAGTTCCTCTTAATCTTTTCCATCCTTCACCATAATTGTTGTTGTTTTTTGTTTGGACTTTCTTTCCCTTCCTCTCCTTTCGTTGACATTCTCTTCATCTTCTTTGCCATCTTTTCTTTCCTTTCTTTTCTCTTCCTTTTCCYTCTCTTCCCTTCCCTTCATCTTTTCTTTATCCATCTCTTCCCGTTGCGTACCTTTGTTTCCCTCTCTCTTCTTCCCTTTCGCTTTTTTCCTTTTATTGATTATTATTTCGGTCCATCCACCCTCCCAATCCTCTTTCTTTTCTAACCTTGTTTTCATTATGGTTATTGCTAACAAATCCCCTAGAGCGCCGTCACGCAGGCTCCGTTATTGCAAACATTAACGTGAAATTCCTTCGTAAGCCCTCAATTGTCTTTGCCATCCTTATTCCAGGAAACCAGTCGAGTGCAACGTAGAGAATGTGTCGGCCATCAGCATCAAGGAAGTGGAGGAAGCCCATGAACCAGATTCATTCTTTAAAGCTCTGGGAGGAAAAAAATACTACGCAAGTTTAGTCAACGGTAGGTGGCCAGAAATAGACCCAGTTACTCATGAACTTGCGTGGGCATTGCTCGCGCTTATCTTTTCTACGCATGCGCTTAGTGAGTAGTAGTAGTAGTAGTAGTGTTTAGTCACTCGAATGTTTTGATAGAATATTATCAAAAAAACGAGATTTCACTTCTTCAATCCCTTACATTTCTGAAAGAAAGTCCGTGACCCCTTTTTCTTTCGTTTTTTTTAGAAGTGCTTTATAATATCAAATTTTACAGGAAAAAATAAATACTATAAAATTGTTGGATCTAGTAACTACTATAAGTGTGCTTGTCACAGATGATGGTATACATATTTTATATCTATTTTATATTATCTAATGTGCATCCTTAAGGGAAGTGCCCTTGCATGTGACTTAGAGTCCCGTTCGCGCTCTTCCAATTGGCATTCATTTTTCTAGTGATCCCACTATTTTATTATGTATGTATGTACCTTTTAGCTATTACCCGATAAGTAAAAAATTGTTGGTTCTATTAATTAATCAATAATAAATTCCTAGATCCAACAATTTTGATTCAAAACTTTTCCTTCGAGGCTTCAACAARCAGAAACCTTTAACACCAAATCCCGCTATAAACACATTCTTCACACAACAGCAAATTTCTTTTCATCGTGAACGCGGAAGTCTTTACTCAATGAGTRACGTCCCATTCAAGAATTCAAGCGTGGATAACATCTAACGTCTARTGATATGTTTAACAAACTGTTGCATATTTTTTATTAACAGACCCATCGTCTCATCACTTTACGCCCAGACTTTTCGAGCTCAGTAGTGCTACAGGAAAATTCCTCTTCAGTGAAGTGTTATGTCCCTCTAGATTTGAAGGCAAGGTTTGTCAATTCCCGTTTTTACAGGAGGATCTGTATGGAGCTAAACAGCCTGGTAAGATTACAGTGCTTTGTTAACCAATCACGATGTARAATAAAAGCTGGAGCCAATCAGGAAAGAGAAGAACCAGTATCATTTTGACATCGGCCAATCACAGTGTTCTTGCTCCTGATTKGCTCAAGCTGGAATGCGTTATTTTCCATCTATATCATAAGTGGTTGACATTGTTTTTCTCCGGGTAATTCGGGTTATTTTTCCTCACAAGTATGTAAGTTGAGGCTTGTGTGTTTAGAATATTTAATGTAGTGGTAGTGAGTGTGGAGTTTGTCATATACTTAAATGCTAGCCTCTGACTCGGGAGACTTGGCAAACTCTCCATATGATGACGTAAAGTAAAGTAAAGATTGATTGATTGATTTGATTTGTTTCAGCGCTGTTCCTGTTGGATTTCCATTTTGAATTATACGTTTGGGAGGGTTGGATACCTGAAAATGATGTTGATTGTCTGACGGGTACGGGAAAACAACGCTGGGATAATGATCGAAGACTAGCCATGGAAACAGCACTTAAGTATGCTGAAGGTATGATACACCCTTAATTAGTGCGTTTACATGAAGTTAGGGTTGCCCTTACGAGGCGATCTCTTCGCTTTTGGTGTCCCCTTTGTGAAACGACACAATCGACTCTATTTGGGTCACTTCTTCCTTCGCTGCGTCCTTTCACCTCTTTAGTTTAGGCGTATTTTTATCCCATTTCAGGCCACGTGTCATTCTCTTGCGAATGAGATTCTTTGTTTAAGTTGTATTCATATTCATGTGTCTTATGCGCGACCGTTATGCAAAGAAATGACGCTTTTAGTCAGGGAACGACACGTGGCCTGAAAGGTAGAGGTATATTCGTGCGTCTACCCGTAGACATTTCCTGGGTTCAATAAACATGATGCAATCTGGTCTAGCTTCTGTTGAAGCAGCACAATGTAAGGTATGATGAATAAAAGAGGTTTGTACCCAAGTTAGACCACAGTGCACCATGTTCGCTTGCCGTGACCGTGATTGGATGAACAGTATCTTGGGCGATGGTCCAAAAAATGACGTGCCGTGACATTGACATTGACCGTACCGTAAGCGTTTAAGTCACACAAAACCTTCGCTAAGCATTCCTKCGCCGTTTTGTATTTTYAGAGGTTGGTAAACGCGTATTATCGCACCGAGTATACGTGGTATATGCTGGCGTAGAACCCATGTCGTTCAAGGTAGCTTTCCCTTACTGGAACGAGAAAGCATACATAACTTCGAGTCAAAAAGAGGTAATAATGTACATACACCATACATATACACTTGTTCGCTTGTTCTGTCTTTCTTTTCTTCTTACATTCAGCATAGCGACAATTTTGCAGCGTCAATTTATAAGAAAATACTGTACATTTGTAAATTTGGCCCTGGATGCCTCGTTTTCAACCGGCTCGCGCCATTTTGGATTTAGGTRTACAGACCATTGTTGTTGGTGTGCATAATGTTTGCCTATTTAGAATATTTTGTTATAAGGTGTATCCAATTTTGCAGTGATATATAACAACGGATTCCTCTTTGGTTTCTTTTGTCATTCTAATGAGGGAAAAATAAGATTTAGCAGTGGCATCTTCCACGGGGTGCCTCTTTATCGACTGAAATTCGAATTGATGGTTTCAACCATTCCCAAGAGAAAAATAACAAAAGACACGGCGGCCATGTTGGAGGATATGACAAAAGAATTTATTGACAAGTTCCTTCAACATGGCCGCCGTGAAAACCATTAATTGGAATTTAAGATTTGATTTATGTGGAGGGAGAAAAAGAAAAACCGAAAAACCCGGAAGACCCTCGAAGCACAGGAGAGAACTAACTCTACTCAACTCTACTCACATACGACACCTAGCCCGGCAAGACCCGAACCCGGGTCGCATTGGTGAGGGGCGAGCACACTCACCGCTACAACACCCCTGCTTCCCTAAATGAACATGGCAGCCATTTTGTTGGATTGTTTCAATATCTTGGGAACGATCACAAACAGCCYTTTAGTATAATATACTATATATATTGATGCATTTTTTTTTTTGTTCAGGCTGGTAAGCAGCTCGGTGCTAGACATTTGGTCACAGATCAACTCAATCAGTTCGTTAAGTAAGTCAAGTTTTCTTCCTTTATAATCAAAACAAACTTGGCATTACTTGCAGACTCGTAGTGCCGTGATCGTGATGGAACTTCACCTTAAATTATTTTTTCTCTGCTTATATTGTTTCCCTCCCGTCCTCCCGCCCTTTCCTTTCTTTCTTTNTAAATGAACATGGCAGCCATTTTGTTGGATTGTTTCAATATCTTGGGAACGATCACAAACAGCCCTTTAGTATAATATACTATATATATTGATGCTTTTTTTTTTTTTTTTTTTTTTTTTTTTTTTTTTTTTTTTTTTTTTTTTTTTTTTTTTTTTTTTTTTTTTTTTCTTCTCTTACTTAAATCCCTGACAAACGGTCCTAGCATTCAGTAACCTAACATTTCAGCCAACATTTGTTGGGTTTGCCAACCGTTTTCCATGATTGGGTTAAAATGTTGACTAAACTTTTGGGTCAGAAGYTTGGGTCAAAGACCAATTGTTTAAGTGTGATCAATTTTTCGTTGCTTCGTGATCAATCTTTAAAAAAACTGCCAACTAATCTCTTACCTTACTATTTTACTCCGACGAAGGACTAGCGTCCGAAACGTCAGTAAGTTTTTTCATCTTTTCACGGTGTATCATTTATTTTTTTATCATTACTGTTTCATTAGAAACACCGACGCAGCTCACACTTGTTTTTAGCTAGTTATCTCTTCTTGACCTCTTACCTGTTACTTTTCAAAAAGGGAAACATATAGCATAGAGGAACTACGAAAGAACCCACCACCACAGGGCGTAGACCCGTCCAAACTAGAGACATACCTCAGTAAAGAAGACTTTTCGGTAAGAATTTCTGTCTTCTTTCACTTAATTGTATTTTACGTCGATTCAACAGTTATTCYTCAATTTACTGATCCAAAGGATCATGACTATAGCGTTAAATGCCAGATCGAGAATTCCGTGATTTTTTAATTATGTTGTGAATGGTGATAGTGATGGTCATGGTGCGTGATATTGATGATGACGCTAATGGTGGTCATGATAGTGATGGTCATGATGCTGTTGATGGTGGTCGTGTTAGTGATAGTCATGGTCATG